TTGCATAAGAGCGCTATTTAATAGTGCTTTTTTCAAGCACCTTTTAGAAACTGCCTTGCAGTCTTCACGTACAATCACACAACTTTTCTATCGAAGAAATTTATTTACCTTAAGAACGCATAAATACACTTGAATAATTTTGCATTGTTAAACTACAACGCATCTTAGCAGTGACCAATGACTTTGGCCCAAATTAATTTATTCTCGCAACTACCCAGTGAATTTAAACGCGTACAACGCTCATTTTTTGCGTGTTTTTCAGAGCCACATTCGGTTTGAGTGCACAATTACAAGGTCAGCAACTAGACATGAGCCGTACACGAATTTACTATAATAGACTTGAAAGATACAATAAAATTGTGAGAATGTCCTGGGCATATTTAATTATGGCAAAGTATAGAGTTCTAAGATAGATAGTCAGCTACGTGTGAAGTTCTCAATAATTCCTTTGCTCAGAAATTGCCTAAGCCAAGATCAAGACATCTACCCGAAAGCGCCAACTATGAAAATGAACTCACTTTTGGTCTTTTTCATAGTGAATAAATCCAATATTGCCACTGCGAGACACACTTTCACCAGAGACACCCTGTTTCTTTATTCTTTGCGGCACGAAACTGGGAGGTGGGGGAGTCATCCTGGAAATTTGAGTCATGTATCCATCCTCAGCTTCCATTATCGGCTCGCATCCACCTTGAAGATAGCCCGAACCTATGTTTTTGGCGATTGTTTGATTATTCATTGAGATGGGAATATACTTTTGGTCAAGAACAGATCTCAGTTGGTCCACATCACGATTACGCTCGCCGACTACCCGACGCAAACCTTCTATTTCGGTTGTCATGTAGGCGATTCGGTCATCTCTGAGAGCAATCTCGCGTCGGAGGCTTATGATCAGGTTCTGAACTGCCTCGACAGGTTGCGGCTGGCCGTCAATGACAAGAAGTGACGAGTCAGCTGATGGTTGAGAGATTCGGAGCGAAGGATTTTGATGGGGTGGGATGGGTGGGGGTGTCTGGTGGCCGTCTACTGGACTTTGTATAGTTGCCGAAACTGGGGGCTGAGCAAACGCAAGAACCGAGGGAGTGGTCGTCAGATAGTTTGGAGTAGATGACGCTGTGGATGAGGGTGATTGTGGATGCCGGTCAAACATGGCCGGTGTTTGATTGTCGAAGTTATTGTGCGAAGCCATCATTTTTGTTTCTCTAATGTGGCTCACAAACCCATTCCGAAGTTATGCGACAGCGGCGTCAACCCCTACGATCGCGTTAGCATGCAAAGTGGAGCAACGAATTGATTTAAAGCGGCGCATGCCAGTAAAGCCCTACGTTATTGTTTAAACCAATCAGAGATCAACTCTCTTTGGATTGGCTAAAAATGTAAATGGCCTACAGACATTCGCAGGTGCTTACACGTGTGCACGCCTTGGGCTTCCGCTCGTTGTCACGTCTCAGAGACAAGGGCTCTCTGAATTGGTAAACATTACGCGCGTTCCACAGGCAGAATGCAGGAACCGAGGCTGAAATGATTCGGAATGCCAATTTCGTACTAGTTCTACTGTCTAAGACTTCCTAATGAATGGGGAGATTATTTTCACTGTCTACGTCTGTTAAACCAGGTCAAAAACACACGAGTGAAGGCTTTGTGGCTAGCGTACGCGTTCTTGTTATTGTTTTGAGAAGGTCCGAGTTGGTGACAATTATTCCGCTAAATTTGGTAACAAAAGTCTTTCTTAAAGCATCTTTGTTGACAAATTTAGATCCAAGCAGAATAGCCTTTGCATTTTCAATTGTTCCTACGTGTAATTTATCTAATTTACTGCATTTTCGATGCATTAAGACAATTATGCTGGTTTCATTCCTCGTACAGTTACACCGTTACGGCCCTAGTTTTCTTCACCAGTTGTCACACAACCTTACTATTCTGATTTCCAAATTAAACAGACACACCAGAATGCGAGAACCGTTCGCACTAAAAAAGGCTGAGAAGCAAAACCTCAGAGAGATGTCCGCAGTGTCTGCTAACTAGCTTAGCAGGAAACGTGTCAGCGTCTGTCTTGGGTCCTCCCCAAGGCTCGATTGCACGCACTCTTCATGGTTTCGAATGGAATGAAACGCTTTGGGATTGCTCTCCAAGAGACGCTGTTAAAGTTTTGTGAAAATGTGGATCGTTTCATGTGTGTGTGTGTGTGTATGTGAGGAATCGGTCGTTTTTTGTTGCTTCATACAGTTTAATAGTAAGCAACTGTTCTACAGAGAGTACCTCGAGTGAACATACCTGCTCTAAAATCCTGTGTTTGGAAAGTTGTGAAAGTTATTTCGAGTGAGGCACCACCAGCAAAAGCGATAAAAAAAGTCTTACACACGCTTGCTCACAGGAAAAGATTAGTGGTACCCGTGAAGGAATACTAAAAACGCAACTACTCTGATGCCAATCCATCGATACTTTATAATAAATAGCACCTGTAGTTACCCCATTAGAAACGTCTTATCTAATTGGGCCCGTTACAATTGTAACAATTTCATCTGTTTAATGCCAGGCTGCCTTCATTACGCCAGGCTATTATGGTATTTTTCCACAATCCAGCAAATCCAGTCGGAATTTCTTTAGGTCTTTTAAAGTTCGATAAAGCAAGCCATGGCGTTGGAAGCTCAGATGCACAAAGGCCGCGAAAGGTTGAATCAGAAAGTTTCTCTTGTTCACATCTCATTTAATCGTGCAGTAGTAGTGGTAGCAGTCGTCGTAGAAGTATTAGTGAAAAGAGTCTGCGACAAAGCTCTCTTTTCGCATTCTGTTCATTGTGATCTGTAGATGTTCCCAGTGATTGGCAGTGTTCTTTCTAAGAGCATACCTTTGTATATCATAATGCTTACTCAGAGGCCTTGAAGTGACGAAATTTGCATTTGAATCGAGATTGCAGTCGTGTAACCAACGGAACTCTATTTTGTGCTGGGCGTTGAGCACGCACATTAATTTGCACCAATGTGATATGTTAGAGAAAAGTTTTATTTGCCCCACATTGTCAAAGTGGTTGAATTTGGTAGTTATTTGACTAAATGCTGCCCCAGGTATCTAACGGTAAAAACCCTACTCCCTTGAGATTAGTTGATCGTCAATAAAGTACTGATTAAAAGGCATTCTTTGCATGGGGATGCTCGGTCCAATTTTTTTAATCCCACTACTTTTGAAGTCTTTCTTTAATTATGTCCGCTTAATTGGTGGATTACATTGTTAAAGTAAGCACCAGTTTAGATGAGAAAGTTTTTTTTGTAGTAGACAATTAAATCAACATAGATTAGTGAAATGTGTCATTTTGGATTCTTCATCTCTGCAGACACATGTACAAAGAACTAAGTAATTAACCCCTTCCCAACAATTCAGACATGTTTGAACAATTTTCCGTGAAAAAATATCCCACATGTACCTCGGTAACTTAATCATATGCATGATCTTGCATGGAGCCAGACAGAATATGACAAGTGAGTTGAGCCATCAATTACACTTTTGTGTATCTGGTCGTCCTAATTATAAATAAGAGGAACTTAAACACTAACAGACAGACTCACCGGAATCGAGAACAGCCAAAACAATCAGGAACTCTAAACCTTTAAAGCATTTGTCTTTAGTGGTAGATTTCGATTGAGGTGTAGTGAAACTGGTATAGTAAAACAAAGGGTTCTACGGAAATATTGTGCTAATGTTACAGCAATCTTCTCAGACATTAGCATAGCGGAATAGGTCAAGTTAAGTCTGGCGATGCCGAGACTTCTACAAATTGTGACCCTGACTGAGTTACCTTGCTCACCCAGCGTTCCTTAAGAAGTGGCACATCCCTCATGATTGCTCGGCTCAGCAGGGTACCTAACCCACCGAGCACTTTCGCTAGATTCTACGATATTCCGAGGTCTTACACTTATCTAATGCAGGTAATAAAAACTAAGTGAGAATGCAGTTAAACCCGAAACTCAAAATGAGAATTACCATTATATATTCAAAATGCAATTTCAGAAATAAATATCAGGCTAACATTTAGTCCAACCTGCATTACAATTTTTACCTTGGAGACGCTAAGTTTAAAGTTGGTCAGGGTTTTAAAATGTAAGTAAAGTTGATGAATCAACAAAAAACACTATACTCAGAACAAGTTCTGCTTGATTTATGAATGATCACCTTCATGGGACATGCCAGACA